CTCATTTTTCAGTCTCTCTGGAGGGATTTTTATAAAGATTACACTGAATTTATACATCAATATAAGGAAAATAGACATCTTGACAATATTTAGTCTTCCAATCCATGAACATGAGTTGTCTTTCTATTAATTTAGGTCAATTTCTCTCAACAATGTGTTATNTTAGTCTTCCAATCCATGAACATGAGTTGTCTTTCTATTAATTTAGGTCAGTTTCTCTCAACAATGTGTTATAGTTTTCNAATCCATGAACATGAGTTGTCTTTCTATTAATTTAGGTCAATTTCTCTCAACAATGTGTTATAGCGTATAAGTTGTACATCTCTTTTGTTAAATTTATTCCTAAGTATTTTATTCTTTGCTATTATTGTGAAGGAAATGTTTTCTTAATTTAAATTTCTCATTGTTCATTGCTAGAATATAGAGATACAATTAATTTTTGTATATTGATCTTGTAATCTTGGTAAAGTTTTTTATTAGTTCTGGTAAAAGTTTTGTGGATTCCTTTGGATTTTCACATAAGACCATGCCATCTGCGAATAGAGAAAGTTTTACTCGTCCCCCCCCTCCTTCAATCTGGATGCCCTTCATTGAAAAAGAAAATTTTTGTGTTGCACTAGCTATAGAAACTCTAGTGCAAGGTTGAATAAAATTGGGGAAAGCAGACATCCTTACCTTATTGCTGATCTTAGAAGAAAAGCACTCAGTCTTTTAGAATGAAGTATGAGGTTAACTGTGGGTTTTTTATAGATGCCCTTTATCAGATTGAGGAAGTTCTATTCTTAGTTTGAGAGTTTTTATTATGAATGAATGTTGGGGTTTTTTCAAATGCATTTTATGTCTATTGAGATGATCTATTGAGATAGTTTTTCTTTTATTCTACTAATCTAATACTTTCTTTTTCTTTCTTTTTTTCATTTAATATGTGCTTTCAGGAATTTTTAGGGCTTCCTGAAGTTCAAAGCCCAAGTTTTTAAAGTTTCACTTCCTCTGTTTATCTTGGAGGCAACTAATTTTCTGCTCTAAAATAAAATAATCTGATTGTCAAATGTTATTCCCAGCCTCCTGCTGGGATGAGCCTATTTTCTCTTTCCTCTCTTGAGCTTTAAGTTGCCTCAGGACTTTGTTGAAATATTTTTTAAAAATTTAGACTTCCAAGGAACAAATAGGTATAAATTGAACTATAGAAAATTTAAACGCAGTCAGGTAAAACCTGCCTTCAAACTTCCTCCTTCTCTATCATTGTTTTGGCAAATGACCTGAAAGCAAGAAGAAAATAAGTCTCCAAATATTGCTTATCTAGAAGACAGTTGAAGAAATAGAATTGAGGACTGGAGGAAAGAGATGATGCTGTATAGATAAGGATTCTGGAAAGAATGTGGTTTGGTGAGCATTGTAATGAAAAGAACTCAGATTCTTTATCCTGATAACAGCAAACATTTACTGAGTGCTCACTCTGTCTTTGGATGTTCAAAGTGTTTTAAATTATCTCATTTAAATATTACAGTAGCCTTATGGGGTAAGAACTGCCCCATTTTACAGCAGGGGAAACTGAGGCAAAGATTGATTTGGGCACCATTTAGTAAATGGTGGAGCCAGTATGGGAACCCAGGCTGAGTAACTCCAGTATGTGTGCCTAATCACTGTGTTATGCCAAAGCAAAGCAGGAGCAATATTAATACTGGGTTCTAGTACTTGGCAGCTTATATGGGGTAAAGTTCCATCTCCCATATACAAAAAAAAAAGACCACCCTTAACCACTATGTCTGATGCCAAACGTCAGAATCAATCCTTTGAGTTCAGTACCGAAAGTATTGTGTGTGTACTAAGACAAATAACCTATTTGAAATGGGTAAAAGAGTTTAACAGGTACATCAGAAATGATATGCCTAGAAATAAAAACACATAAAAAGATGCTCATTATCACTAGTCATCAGAGAAATGCAAATGAAAATCATGAGGTACCACTACATACCTATTCAAGTGGCTAAAATTGAAAAGGTTGACAATACTAAATGTATACGAGGATGTGGAACAACTGGAACTCTTATATATTGCTGGTGGGAATGTAAAATGATACGACCACTTTAGACAACTATTTGGCAGTTTCTCATAAAGTTAAATATAAACTTATCACATGATAGAGTAATTCTGATCCAAGGTATTTACCCATGAAAATGTAGGTCCAAGAAAGAGTTGACACAATGGTGATAACAGCTTTGTTCACAAAAGTGTAAATAGTCCAAATGTCCATCTACAGGAGAATGAATAAACAAACTGTGCTTTATCCATACATGAAACAATATGAATGAAACTCAAAAGCATTATGTTCAGAGAAGAAAAGGCAGACAAAAAAATGATTCCATTTACATGAAACTCTATAGCAGGCAAAATTCATCTATAGTGACCAAAAGCAGATTAGTGGTTGCCTGAGGCTGGGAGGTCAGGTGTGGGATGAGATTAACTACAAAAAGGCGGGAGGAAAATTCTGGGGTGATGAATAATGTTATATACCTTGACAGTGAAGATATTTGCACAGGTATATATCGTCAAAACCCTTTGCACTTAAGATGGATGAATTTTACTGTGTGATTATTATACTTCTAAAAAGTTGATTTAAAAACTATATGCACAATGGGAATACAAAACAGAAAATGTTCTTGGTCATTAATTCATTGTTTTCTTCACCTAGAAGGTGAACAGAAGAGACTTTATGGGAAGAAGAGAAAAGCAAAAGGTATGGTTTTGAGATGCATTGTTCCAGAAGGAAGTTTGGGTGACCTGCTCTTTTCTGGACATTCTTTGGGTGACATGATGGCTGGAGGGAGAGAAACAAATGAGAGAGGGGGAGGTGGGAATGGAGGGATGCTAAGACGGATTGCGTGCTGTACATTTGCCCCTGATGGTAGCTGGTTGAGAGCCATTCATTCTATTGTTACATTTCTACTATAATTATTTTGTCTTTAGTTTTTCAATTTGTCGAACTTCACTCTCCTAAAGGGAGCGAAAAAGAGAATGTCAGGAGAAATAGAAAGGTGGAGGAATTGGGCTGGGGTTGGAAGCATTCAGACAATGACTGCTTAATTATGTTGTAAATAATTTACTGCTGAGAAAAAAACGAAGGGGAAAGCCTTAATGGAGTAGGGAGAAGGGGGCTGGGCAGTTCTGGAGGCCAGGGAAGCTGGTGCATCACCTCGACTTAACGATGTATTTTTCTTTTTTTACAGGTGTCAAATAGCTCTAGGAAAGTCTGTACTTTAGCTTATTAAATTTAACATTTAAATCTTATATAACAAACTGTAACATGATTTTCCAACTTAAATGCGCACAAGACTCTTGTGGCAAAAATGCAGATATCTAGGCCCCCTCCCTAAGACTCTGCTCCAGTGGGTTTAGGATCTACATTTTTATCCTATATGGTTTGGATACACTCTCTTTATGGACTTGGAGAAATACTGACCTAGAAGGTTATAGATGAGATGAGAAAGCATAATTTTGATGACCTTATTTACTCCAGAGAAAGGAAAGAAAAAGTGACCAAAAGAAATATTAGATTAAGAAAAGCATCAGTTTGTTTCAATGAGGTGCATGTGCATGTGTGTGTGTGTGTGTGTGTGTGTGTGTGTAATAAGAGAGCTAAGTAAGATATTAGGTAGGAGGTTTGGGGCCTTCTGATGTAGGGAACATATGCCTCGCTACTTATCACACAGACCCAGACCTGGTTTTATGGATTCTTCTCTTTCCTAGAATATGCCTCAAATCCTTTTTTCCCAAAGCCCATCAAATTGGTAGCAAATGTGAAACATTTGTTGGTCTGTCCACCTAATCCATCATAGTACAATACAAAAAGATACGAAGAGACTGGGGTGGATAAAGGAAATCAATACCCGTTTCCTGTTCTTTACCTTGAGATCCTTTGTCTGGTTTCAGTATGTCTTCAACAGAAAAAGAAACATAGCCAGAATTCCCAATCAAAATCAGATAAAACACAGGCGATAAGACTTTGTGCCTCTCCTTTCTGCAGATAAGAAATTTGAGTTATAACAGGGCCAGATTGTCTGAGCTCATTGCAGTTTTTTAGGGATTAGAGGTTTGTGTGTGTGTGTGTTTCACAGTAATTTAATCATATTTAGAATCAAAGCAAGTATTCCAACAATACAATGTCAAGCAAATTGAGCAAAAAAATTAATTCTCCACAAATTACAATTTACAAATTACAGATTACAACATTCCAATTTAGATTGTAATCTTTCACTTAAAATCCCAGAATTCTATTAAACTATTCACACCTGACCAAATATAAATCTATTTATATTTTTCACACTTTATTTGACAACATAAACAAAAAACTAGTTCATTAGTAGTTTCCAATCTGGTAGCCTCACAAAATGGTCTTCCCAAAATGTTTTACACACTACTTTTAAATGATCTATGATTTTTTTATAATTCAGTCTTTAAAAATGTACCTAGATCTCTCATCTAGACACTTAGAAAATTGCATGCTTATACATAGATACTACATTTTTTCAAGTAAATTAACATAAGGATAAAGTAAAATAATCAACAGAGTGTTTGATTTTCAGTATGGCTTCAAAGTTGCTACCATCAAACCTAAGCCATTTCTTTAAAGTGGTCATACAGTGAACGAGAATAAGCCCCTTTCCTTAGCCTTTGTATAGAAATGCATTTAGTATTGTTCTTGTAGACAGGATCAATAAAGTTATAGGAGACTCTAAGAAAAAGATGGAGAAAAAAAGCCTATTTACAGCAGATCTAATAAAGCTTGTGTGTCTGCCTAATAGCCCCCTTTTCCCACCTGCACATGGCACCAGCAGTTTTTTGTGGTTAACGTTGATTTCCTTTCACTTTGTTTATCATTATAAAGCAAGGGTTGTGCCCTTAAATTGCCCCCATAAAAGAGGGAGTTGCCTAATACCCAAGTCCTTACAGTGTTTCTCTTATTATAGTCTCTCC